CACGACCAATGCTGCGATTTTTATTGGGGGGGGGGGGGATTTTATATACAACATATTTTGTAAAGAGTAAATTATACATGGTGGGTGGTTTTTTTCTGCTTATACTGTACCGCATTCATGCGTGCGGACGGGTTGCATACTCGCACGGGGCCGTATGGCGCCATGGTGAGCGACGATAGGCATGCCCGCCCGCACGCATGAATCCGGTACAGCATAAGCAGAAAAAAACCACGGCGCGGATCACCCATCCTGTATTGTCCATCACAAACATATTTTTCCAGCTCCAAATCAGACACCTCCGACCAGGCACCTGCTGGGAGCCTGCGCCATGCCTACGGCAGAGACTCCTCTCAATTGAAATGCTACGAGTCACGGGCGATTGCTCCCTCGGCATAGCGACGGTTTCAATGCGCTTCCAATTTCGTTGCCCTCTTTGAGAGCAACATTTATTTTATCGGGTGTTGCTTCAAAAAGTGACCACATCACGGAAGTGTCAAGTTGTTAGACAGTGTGCAACACCGTGATTTGAACAGGTCGGTATGTGCAAATATTGAACATTTGTTTTAACAGTGCGCATAGAGGGCCCCAAGCGCCAAGTGGACGTCGCTAAAGCGTCGACGATCGTCGTTAGCACAGCTCGCCAAATATCTATTCAACCCATCAACTGCACTACAAGTAAAGGAGTGACCAAATACGATCCAAATAGAGCGATATTGTGAATCCAATTTGATGACTCTTGGGGGACGACATTAATTACATCGCTCGTTTGGAGTAACTTTCGCGACATTTTTGGTTACGAATAAGACTCATTTTGAGTCATTTTCGCAAACGTCGCTCGTTTAGAGTCGTTCCTGCGCGACATTTTCTGTTACGAAGAAGAAGTGTTATTGGGATATTGAGTAATGCCAGTGACTGCTGGAAACTTTCGGCGGCTCCCGTCTGATGAGAGCCTTTCACAATAATTGGTCGAGTAAATATTGATGGCCGAAGTCTCCGCTCGCGGCCAGCTGTCCTCCCGGCCCCCATTAAAACAACGAATAAGGGCCCACTCGAGACGTACGGCAAGATGTCGCGCGACCCCTCGCTTAATCATTGTTTCCCGGAGACCGGAGCGCGTTATTAAGGGCTTCACGGAACTCGTAGCTCCAGACCGAAGCAATCTCTGGACGGGGAACGCGGGACGGGGGGCATGGGGTACGAGGGATGGGGTACGAGGGACGGGGTGACGGGGCAAGAGATTATGAGGGACGGGGTGCGGGGTACGACGGGCGGGAGGTGCGGGGTAGGTGGGACGGGGGGACGGGGTACGAGGAACGGGGTACGAGGAACGGGGTACGAGGAACGGGGTACGAGGAACGGGGTACGAGGAACGGGGTACGAGGAACGGGGTGACGGGGTATGGGGTACGAGGGACGGGGTACGGGGTACGAGGGACGGGGTGCGCGGTACGAGGGACGGGGGGTACGAGGGACGGGGTGCACGGTACGGTGTGTCGTCCTCTCCCCTCACAGTATGGCTCTCATGGCGCCTGGCCGGTAGGCAGCATCTCGCCTGCAGCGCCTGCGTGTTGTGCGGGGTGGCCTACCCCGAGTCTCGCAGGCGCCCCTTGCTCCCGTAATGATTTAGTTCTACCAAAATGAATCTTAGAAGAACGCTGAAAAATTTTTGCGTGTTTCGTTGTAATGCGCAAGCGAATTACGTTTACAGAAACTAATAGGCTATGAATAAGCAACAAGCAACACGTCTACAAGTTTAGAAGACTTTCCACTTGGAACAGACTCTAGTTTCCAGCCGAAGCTTCCTGCCAAACAAACTCACCTGCAAAAGGTGTGCAATATCGGCGCAAACCGAACAATACTTGCGCGTCACGTATGGCGCAAAGCCAAGTCGAATACTTGAGAGATGTCGGCGTGAATTATATCTGTAAAGGCGGAAGTGAACAGTGCCGCCGTCGCGACAACAGTCTCTCTCTCTCTCTCTCTCTCTCTCTCTCTCTCTCTCTCTCTCGCGCTCTTTGACGTTACGAAGAGTCATCTCTCGAACGCGATGATGCCGATTAGCTCATCTCTCGAACCCCTATCGTCCGTATCTCAAAACAGCTGCGAGGAGTCGACGGCTCGTGTGCTCCTTGTGCCCCGGGCTGACTCCCGATGTACTCGGAATGTACATTAAAAAGGGGTCTCACTACCCCCCCCCCCCTCCCAAAAATGTGTTCTAGAGTTAACACTTTCCGTGCGGCGAGTCACAGTCATACGGGTGGAGACGCAAAACTTACCGTCCCCTGCGACGGTTCCACCATCGTGGACCCAAATGGACTCACCTTAAAGTGTCCTAGTGGTGACATGTGAGTCTATACCATAAAATTTTCATATGCCTCTGATGAAAATTAAGATTAAGACCCCCGAAATTTAGTGTTGCCACACCGCTGAAGTCTCCTTGAAGAGTATTGCCTTATTGTCCCCGGATCAGATTAAAGACCTCCCTCTGTCTGTGTACAGGTGTATAGAGGCGGGCCGCTAGATTGGATACCAGACAGGAGGCCTGGGCGGCCTGTCTCCCCCCCCCCCTCTCTCCCCTCCCAGCTCTCTCACCTCGTACACCCGGCAATTCGAGCCGTCATGAGAGAGAGGGGTCTGCGGCGTGTGTCTTTTCCGAGTCGCCCCCCCATCGCAGACTATCGAGCGTCGGCTCCCGGATCCGGGGGCGGCGGCTGGGGCGGCGGCGGCGGTGGGGCGGCCGCGCTGAGCTGGTGGAGGTGGAGACCGCCACCACCCTCGCCCGCCTCTCTCCGGCCCGGAGCCCGGAGCCGCCGCTCGCGGCCCGGGTTACACTAGTCGGCCGGCAACCCGCGGGACGAGGGATTCTCTCGCCCGGCACTCCGCGCGGATGCAGCCCCTTTTGCGTTTGACGACTCGCGTGCTCCGTTTTAATTTTTATCTTATTTTTATTGGAAGTTTATTTCCCGTTACTCACGCTCGAATTCCCGCAGCCAAGGACATCAATTCCTGGGTGTGCAGCGCAGTTGAACTAACTACCTTTCAAGTATTCAACTTGCAACTGCACACTTACAAGTGTGCAGCTGTTGCTCCCTCGGTTACATCAGTGGAATACCCGAACAAGGCCAAAGTAATGTTTTGATAAAGATCACCTGTTGCCGCTCAACCTAGCCCAGCCAGCCCGCGATGTTTTTTTTTCTTCCATCATTAAAAATAAATATCAGTCTATAGTTAGTATGTTACTAGTCACGACTAGGTCACGGCTGGCTCAGGGTGAGTCTAGCGCCTGGCGGGCGGTGGGTAGGCCACTCCTCGCGACACGCGTGGTGTAAAGCGGCCTATCCGGGGGCGGGCGGGCGCTCCCCATGCCGGGGAGGGGGGAGGTGGGCAGGGCAAAACGGACGAGATGAAACCGACAAAAGAGAGAGAGGGCACAGATACGTCCGGGGTCATCAAAACCCGCTCATGTAATAAATTTACTATCAAATAATGTAAAAACAAGTAAGAAAAAAAGGGGGAGGATTAAAGGGTGTATCAGGGATGGTGTTTGTGACTTACTTCAAGCAGCATCTTTTTGGCCCATCCCTCCCAACGAAAGAAATATAAAAACAACATAGACATAAAAACATTCTTTGGCTTTTATTCAAAGTTAGGTTCAAACAATGACTAGATTTTGTTGTTAAATACTGTCTGCAAATTGCAATTCTTCAAGAAGGATTGCGCACTGATTTGAAATGGAAATGACAGAAGTGGAAGTGAACTTATGGCAAGCAAAGCACAAACATGAAAATCACAGGGTGCGTGAATTACAGTGCATTGCAATACTAATAATTGTCATCATTCAGGGAGCAGGTCATCGCCAAGCTCATCATCCCCAAAATCATCATCAGCAATCTGCCGGGGACCAGCCGATGTTCTCGGCCTCTCAACTGCTGGCCCCAAGGGATCCGAGTAACTGGCATCTGGAAATTTAGTAGCAACAATTATGCAAACAAAGTTTGAAAGGTAAATACATTTTTGACTTTAAATTAAGTTGAGGAGCACATCTTACCAAGTTCTCTGCCACTTTTTCTACTATATCGCTCTTCAACAATAGGGGTTGAACCTCGAGGGAAATCTTGTACATTGGCAGAGCCTGGATTGCTCCCCAAAACTATTTTGCCTGAACCAGAGCCTGCTCTGGAAGACTGGGCACTTCCAATGCTTCTCATAGATCCTGTTGTCAAAAAGTCAAAAAAAGAATCACATAAACAATTTAATAGACGGTTAAAGAACACAACTGATTCCTATTCCTTCTACAATATTGAAAAGAAAAAAGAAAAAAAGGAGCAGTGTGGAATAATGCGAACCTGGCCTGCCACTTCCAACGCGATTCCTCATCTCCTTTGCTTTTTCAGCCTTTTTTAACTCAAGACCATAATCTGCAGCTTCTTTCAATCCCATGTCTGAGCACAAGCGTACTAAAAACTTGAGACCTAGAAAGAAAATAAAATTTAGGTACATTAAAAAAAAAGAAAAAAAAGAGTAACCTAAACTACTAATGAGTGTGTCTTACATTCAATATTTTCAGGTGCCTGCTTGTGTATGTCTTTGTATGTAGCCAGAGCTTGCTGGTAGTTTCCAGCACGCCTATGACATGATGCAATTAAAAGTTTCCATTTCATTTCATCGGGCTGAATAACACTTGCTTTTTCAAAAAATGATATGGCTCGCTCTGCTACTTGTAGCTCAATAAAATAGGACCCAAGCCAATCAATCACTTCAAAATTTGATGGATAGTGACGATAAGACTAAACAGAAAATGTATGTTAGATTTTGCAAATGTCAACTATTTTAAATGAAAAGCAATTTTATTTTCAGAACAGATCCTTGCCTCAAAATGATAATGGTAAGCCTGTTGTTTATCATTATCACTATCAAATATTTCTCCTAACTTTTGCAGAATACCTGGATCTGTAGGCACTATTCCTAGCAATTGTAAAAACCTTAAAAAAAATTGATATAAAAAAATATATGTATGAAAAAAAAAAGAGAGATATTGCATTTAACTAATTGTAGACTTTGGTGCTGGAACATCCAGAAACGTTCAACAAACCATTCTACAGCCTGATCCACATCACCAAGCAGCTGATACAGGTGACCAAGTTGATACAGAGCTTCAGGTTGATGGCGAACAATAGCCTGAAGTTTTAAAAAGCAATCCAAAGCATCCTCATGTAAGCCTAGCTGCTTGTTGGCCAGACCTGCAAAAAATATCACACCAAAAATCGTAAATAAAAGAAAATTGAGGTAATTTCTTATTGTAGGAATTCTTACCAAGATTATATAATGCTTCAACACAAGATGCGTCATTTTCCAGTGCACAAAGAAACAAGTCCTTTGCCTTTTCAAGATCACCTGCAGCCAGGCTGCAGCATCCGAGATTTACAAAGGCAGCTGCATTATAACCATCAGCTGTTCGGGAAGATTCACTGAATTTCTTGGCCTGCTCAATGTCGCCTTGCTTTACACATATTATTAATGTGTAAATGAATAGATTGGATTAGTTTATGGTCAAATTCATACTTAATGGTCGTATGAGCAAATAACAAAGACATACCAAAAAGTAGATAAATGCAAGGTTTGTAGCAGCACTGCTCACAATCTTAGATTCAGTTTTCTTTTCAAATGCCTTCAGTGTGTCAACTGCTTGATTGATTTCTTTTTGTTTGAGAAACATGACAGCCTTGTTAATTTCAAGTTCAGCCGCAAGAAAAGCGTAGCTGGAAGCTTTTAATGTTTCCAAACACCAGGTGTATCCTGAAAACAAAAGAGTAGTCTACTAATATTTGCATTGAAATTCCAAGAAGTTTCAACAAAAAGAGGAAATGCATTATTTTTTACCAGCTGAAAATGTATCATCAATAACAGGGGCTATAAGTCTTGCTGCTGTTAATATGGATCGTTCAGCATTTTGTTTCATCTGTCTTTCTAATTGGCGTAATGAGTCATTTCTTATTGCCTCCAAGGCAAGGTTTAAAGCTGGATCATCCTAAGTAGACATATGTACAAAACATTAGTTAATAAATTAATGACTTCACAAAAACATGAAAATAATGTTAACTGCATTTTTAAGTTGATGCCGAGAAATTGTTTTACTTACTGAAGTCGCACTGTATTTATCTTCATCATCAATGTTCAAAGGGACTTCAACAAGGGCCTGAAACCCCCTTTTCATTTTTTCTTTCTCTCCCAATGCATAATAACATACAATAACATCCAGACCTGTTTCATTCAAATATAATCTCACATGTCCTCAAATTTCTATTTGTTTCAATAAGTAAACACAAAATTACTTGCCTGTATGAAAATCCGGCTTCTCTTGCATAATGTATTCAAAACTGCTGCATGCCTCTGTGAATTGACTCATTTTTACAAATAAAACTCCAATGTTGTGCATTATTTTAATTCTGAAATAAAATATGATGAAAGCTGTGGGTATTTTTAGACTGGACTTATTCATAAGACATATATGGTCCATATAAATTGTGTTGACTTTTACCTCAGTTCTTTGTGAGTTGTTGGAACTTGATCTAGAGCCATTCTGTACATTTTGACAGCCTTGTCATAATCACTTAACTTTAAATAAATATTGCCCATGTTTAGTTTAAGCCTATTTGCATTACTGAATGTCCTGTTTTTGGTTATAACTTGGAATGTATTCAGAGCTTCAGAAAACATTTCATTTGCAGCATACTGATTGGCTAAATTAAATAATACCTGTCAACAGTATGTAGCAAATAGCATTATCTTGAATTTTAAATATTAAGTGGCAGGGGTCTAAATATTTCAAAACATAGAACGCAATAAACTCACAGAAAATGTTAAGTCCAAATTGTGTGTCTCTGATAGACCAGCTTGATCCTGAATTCGAATTAAACTTCTTTCCTTCGTTGAAGCTTCTTTAGCTCTTTCCAAAGCCAACCGCATATCTCCTGAGTTATTAGCAAAGCAAGATTCCTCTATCAATTCCATAATACGTCGCTCAGCCTTTTTTATCTTTTCTTCTGGTCTGGGGAAAAAATACTCTATGAACAATAGGTAACAGGTCTCCCACTGACTTTTAAATTGTAACAATTGCATTGTGAAGAAAATTTCACAGGTTCCAAGAAAATCACCAATAAATTACTTACGTGTCTTCTTTTTTGGTTTCTAGTGGAGGTGCAGGACCACTAGCAGCTTGGTTCAAGGGATCAAACATTTGGCTTGAGCCTGATCCCACTCTATTTGAGGTGTAACCAGCGCCCCTCACAGCTGTCATTGGCCGGTTTACACCATCAAGAGAGCCAGTGTACGGCCTCATGGCAGTGCTTCCTCTAAACTGAAAATGGACAACAATCACAACTAGATTCTACATAACATTCTAAATTTCCAGCGCTCCAATGATTAAGTCCTTACTTACCCCAGTTGATGTTCCAAGGCGAGATGCAGTGGTGGGCTTCATTGATATCTACAAGAAACCGATACAAAAGATAAGTTTCTTTTCGTACTCACATCACTAAAGAATTAAGTTGATATATTGTCATACCGGAGGTCTTCGTCCCATACTCGATCTCAGAGCCTCTTGAATAATGTCGTCATCCTTAAACATGTTGGTGTTAAGTGCTGATGGATACTCATTGTATCCAGAATAAAGGTCTTCGTCATCAGACGGAACCAAATGAATGTGTTCCATCATCATTCAAAATTCTAGACAGAATTATCAATTAAAGAGAGGTTACTGATCCCCAGTAACATAAACAGATATCATTCAATTGAGCAGATCTGTGAGAAAATTCAGACAATGTTGGTTTTAGCAGAAAATTAGATATGAATATGAATGTATGGTTCCATTAATCTAACAAATTCAATGAAAGAGTTCGTACTTACCGAGTATTTCTTTATTTCGATGTCGACCCTACATCTTCTGGTTGTTTGTTTGTTTACAAATACATAACAACATTGGAATGCACGACCAGTTCTTCATTTCTTCCTCTCTCTAGAAATGGCACTGGAGACCATTTTGTCGTCTCGGCCACCCTTTCGAAGTCACAAGAGTTCAGAAGAAATTCCTTTAAAAATAAAACAACATTTTGACCGAGGGTGGATGCAGATCCATCCATTCCTTACGGTTTTCCCTTTTCAAGACGTTCTGACTGCCGCACGGTGGATCAGTTTCCTTATTATCTTGTTTCCTCCCTGTGCCTCCCCCCCCTCCCTCAACTCTTTCGCGCGCCTTCCGCACGTAGTTCACAAGCTCCACGATGGAGGGCGCCAGTTGGTCACCTCTGGGGCTCAACACCAGCACGCGAGCGGAGCGCCAGAGAGGACGAGTAGTGGTAGAAGGGGAGAAGGGGGTAAGCTTACCCAGTGTAATTGGAGCACACAGTTCATGATTGTAAAATTTAATAATTAATTGTGATTCAAAAGTTTTCAATTATGTAATTCTTTTCCGTTGACCTGGCATCGCCCTCTCCAGTATCGTTCCCGTTTTGAAGTATGTCTTTGGTCCCTCCAAGTGGAATCACGACGATTCTTCCCCAGGGGCGGGCAGAGGGTAGATCACTGGTGAAAAGTGAAAAGGGTGTAAGTGTCCGCGGACTTCGCATTGGACTTACTCTCGTTTCACTTTTTACCAGAGTGATAGAGAACACCCTCGCGACGCGCCCAGCCGCGGTGCAAGGGGAGTCGAGGAACACCGTGAACAGAGCGGCGGCGCGCCAAGTGAAGGAACGCCTCGTCGAGCGGAACGGGCGGGGCGGGCCTGTAGTGCAGTGCACCGGCTGGAGAGCCTGGAATGGCACTGGAGTGTGACGTAAGGAGGGAGGGGGCTACTACTAGTACTCGGCTACTCGCAACTGACAAGTGCAGCGCGACAGGTGGACGCGGCCCGCGGGGGGCGGCCCGAGGGGGGGGGGGGCAGGATCAGTAAGTAGACTGATTCCGTACGGGCCTTTCGTATACCTCCGTCCGTGTCGCACTCGCGAGACACGTCATGAGGTAGGAGAGAGAAACCCCCCCTCGATTTGAGTGCTCTGTGGAATCAATCGGGGAAACGCGCGTAAAAGAAGGAATGGCAGACGGAGCCATACCAGGTGGCTGATTCACGCCGCGCACTTCTGTAGGTAGACTGTACCGCACACACGAGTGCGGGCGGGCTTGCCTATCACCCCTGTCCACGGCGCCATACGAGCCAAGCGAGTAGGCAACCCGCCCGCACTCGTGCATGCGGTACAGCAACGACAGAAGTGCGCGGTGTGAAACAGCCACCTGGTATACTACCAATGATGAATGATGCCAAATAACTCGATTTCTGGTAGCGTTGAAGTTTGTAGAGTTGTGCAGCAGCCGCGTTGAGGTTGGAGGGAAGGGGCGGGGTGGGGTGCGGGGGGAGGCGGCGGCAGAGCAGGACGTCGGTCGTCGTGCCCGCGAGCTGTCTTTCTCCTCCCTCGCCCACGCCACCTACGGGAAGGGGGTTGGGGAGGGGTGTGGTGGGGGCGGAGCGGGACGGTCGCGTGGAGGAGTGTGCCCGGGCGGCCCGCGCGCACAGGTGACCTCACCCCTCCGCCTCCGCGCCCGCCTCCGCGCCCGCCTCCGCGCCCGCCCCCGCGCGCTTTTGTCTTAACAGCATCCTGGAGCGTGCCGCTCCGGAGGTCCCGGGGCAGGCCGCGTGGCGGGTCTGCTGCTTGCTGCTCTTCGCCGCCGCCGTCCACAAGAACAACGAGAACATTTCGCCGTCAATAAAGCGTCTTCGTCGACCGGGAGCACACGTGATGGACGTGGTGCTCACTCGCCTGCTGCCGTCGTGCTCCGACCCGACAAACCGCCTCTTTTTTTAAATTTCAACAACGAAAGGACCAGCGAAAAAGATTCAATCTCAATCAAGAATTCGATCTTGAAAGCAGATGATCTGAATTTTAGAAGAGCAGGGCTGTTGATCTAACTCGCTTTCGTGTTTAGAAGTTTAGAATTGTTTGACAATAACGCCGCACTAAGCAGGCAACCCGCCCGCGCGTTGGAGTGCGCTGGAATTGCGGTACAGTATAATAACAGAAGAGCGGGTCTGCTAATCAGCAGTGTGACATGTTCCAAAAATTATCGTGCTAAAAAAACACACAAATATTGACCAGAGAATATAGGATTGGAAGCCCTGGAAAGTTTCTGAAAAGTTCCGGGGGTGTCTGGAAAATTTCGATGGGAAAATGGAAAATTTCCCAGGCTATGGAAGTTTTCCGTTATATCCGGAAATTTTCAAGACTTTGGAAAATTTTGGAAATCTTCAACCCTATCAGAAAACGGCAAGAGTACAGCCCTGGCGACATCCCCGCTTGCCCGGCTGAGGTCGGAGACCCGGCAAGGGCAGGACCGGCAGGACGGAGACGGAGCGAGGCAGACGGTGGTGAGGCGGGTGTCGAGGGCGGCGCGCGCGGCCGGATACTGCGTGCGATAGAGGGCGGCGATAGAGGCATCCACCAGGTAGAGTAGAGAGAGAGGAAGAGACCAGAGCAGCCCGCGCCGTGAGCAGCCTAATGGGGGCGATTGTCTCGTCCGGAGCGGCGGCGGCTGCTCGTCTGCATGCGAGCCGGGCGGGGCGGGGCGGGGCGGAGCGGGGCGACCCGCGGGCCAAAGGAGAAGTCCCGAGATATCCTTTTAAACGAGGAGAAAGCGGGTCGGTGGCCAGAGAGGGAGAGAGAGACAGAGAGCGAGCGAGAGAGAGAGACTTGACTTGAGGCTTTGCAACAGGGGCCTAACCCCAATAACCCGACCATGGCGTGCCTGGACCACAGCATAGCGGTCCTGGAGCTCGCCCCCCGCGCCATTGTCCCCCCCCCCCCCCCCACTTTGGCCGCGGGCGAAGATCGCCCCGCGCAGAAGGTACGAGGGTCACCGCGGCGGCGGCCGCATGGGGAGGACAATGAGTGCGAGCTGCTGCAGGCCGTCACCCCCGAGAAGGAGGCCAAAAGAGGAGCCGGAGGGCCGGAGGAGGGAACGAGGATGCGATGAACATTGTCGCCCTCCGTGGTGTGTGTGCCTCTCGGCTCATACATCAGCGCGGTCCCGTCAGCAACAAGCACTACTACTACCAGCCAGGGGCCGGGAAGCCGTCGAGGAGGGCGCGGCCCGCGCCCGAGGCCGCGACAGGGCACAAGGGACCGTCCGGGCTGTCCGCCGTTTTGGTCTAACCTGAGACTGAGTCTCTCTCGGTCTCTCTAGTCTAACCTCGACATCGATCTACGGACGCCGCGGTGTAGTTCGTAGTATTTGCAGTAAAGGCACACGGTGGAGATCACGGCATCGTGTCATGCTAGCTTTTCTCACTCACTCTCTCTTTCTCTTTTTCATTTTTTCCCCTCGTCGCCTTCCCTACACCTCACCCTTGTCGCTACAGAGTGGGACTAGCAGGCCGCCAATAGTCTCTCTAGCCGCCAACGCCAACGGCCGGCGCGACCCGTTCAAAAGCACATCCGTTGTTTATATAATTTATTTTGAAAAAAATAA